TGGCGTTTGGAAATGCCTTTGCTCTTCAGGGCAGCAGAGAGGGAGGGTGTCTGGCTTGTGCCATAGAATTAGCACACGGGTTCTTTTGAAAAGACTACTTTCTCATACACACGAACCTAAATTTGTGTCTTGTGGTATTCCGTATATGAATCAGGCATCTGAAATACCTTGTTATATCTCAACATAGGATTTACCTTTAGAATTCAGTCAGGTGTCGGATGGCTGTAATGGTGCTGATCTTTGTGCTAGCAACATCTTCTCTACACAAAACAAAGATGAGATCTTTACATCACTGTTGTTTTTTCTTGCCTGCCTCTAACTCATCTTAAACTTCTCTGTGTATATTTATGCACTGTGGAGGCTGTTAGCATGAAATCCCAAACACCTGAGATTTTTGTTGTGTCTTTCCCTTCTAGAGGCGACATGCATTACGGAGATGTCAGTAATGATGGCCTGCTGGAAACAGAATGACTTCAGCGATACAGCTTGTGCTGAGGAGATCCGGATATTCTATGACTGCGTGGCAAAGGCAGAAGTAATTAAGGCCTCTTTTGTGTTCTTAAAGGCTAGTAGCAGGGAAGGAGGAAGTCCCCAATCATTTTTTGTGTGCCAACAGTAATGATGATCTCTGAACAATTTGATTGGTGGTCTAACCCATTTGAGCTGTAGGAGAGATGCAGGATGACGTAGATCAAACACACAGTCCTTCCTTTTTGAATGCAGAAATTAATTTATAATGAAATTAGAATTAAAGGAACTGTAGGAAGGGACTGGATGTTTGTTATGTTATAACTAAGGATGAAACAATAGTCACATCCTGTCCTTTTTGTGTTGTCAGATTCTTGAAGCAGAGCTCAGTTGCTCTCAGTTGACCCTAACCTAGGCTATTTTTTTTTATTTCTTCCAGTTTTTAATCTCTAAAGTTTCAGCACTAGTGAAGTAATAACAGTCACTGCTCTTCTCCGTAATTACATGATAGTTCTGAATGAGGAAAAGTACAATTTGGAGCTATTAAGTAGAACAGTGATTTGTATGGTGTGAGATGTGGATTATATTGTAACTGGGGAGATGTACAGTGTAGGTAAGTTACCGCAACTGTTCTGATTCATAAAATTGAGAAATAGGTGACTTGGGTAGCAGTCCAATACTTGTGTTATCTAGACAGTGGGGGAGAGTGGCAGGTTAGGATACCCAGATTCCAATCTGTTATAAATCTGTAAATAGTTCTGTGCTTGCAGGGGTGAGGGTGGAGATGAGGTGGTGGAGAAATAACCAGTGGTGTCAGTAATCCTCATAACAAAGAGAATTTTCAGGATACGTGAGGTACAAATATTCTCAATTAGGAGTTCTTTTAGGCTGTTTCTGACTTTGAAGGCTAGATATTTTCTTGAAAAACAAATTTCATGTTGTTTGGAAATGAGAGGTTTCCAGCAACATGATAAACTTGAAATTAAGTTAGTTTCAAAAGCAGACTAAAGGTAAGTATATGTACTAAACTTCTCCTTAAACTGATTTCAGGTTTCCTTTTTTTTTCCCCCCAGTAACAGTGCCATCAATTAATAAATAGTTATTTACTTTTTCTGTTGACAGCATGAATGAAAAAGAGTCCACAATTTATTTGGTAGATTAAAAAGGATCAAATTGAGTAAAAGAAAGTAAAAAGAAAAGATCTGCATTATTACTATAAGTTTATAATATTGTTAGCAAAGAGCATGGAAGAATATAATCTTCACAAGATGACAGTAAGTCATTAATTACATTTTGAAAGCCTTGTGATAATTAAGCCAAGTGCTATTTTAAGTGTTCCTTATAGAAATAATATTCTTCTGAAAGAAGTACAATTAGTAGTCTTTGGGGTTGAGTATCAATTCTGCAAATAAAGAGTTAACCTTCTGAGGTTTCTTTTTCTCTTTCAGAAGGAGCGCAAGAATCAAAATGCGGATACCCTGTCACCTAGGGGAAACTTAACTTCAAGCAAGGTGAACAAACTCCTCAGGAGGTTTCCTCAGATCACACGTTACGTATAATGAGCTTTACTAAAGGGACTGCAGACAAGCAATTAAAGTTGGAGTCTTTGGCAAAAAAGCAAAAGGTAGACTTGCGTGAGTGTTTGATGTCAAGTGGTATCTGTCAGCATTGCTGCATGGATCTTGACCCCACCTTTGTTTCCAGAGTGAAAAACACCCATCTTGACCATCAGCTGACTTTGTTCATGAGGTTCTTGGGTCTTACAGTCTTAGGATTTCTGCAGTGTGTTGTTCAGCTAGCCACAGTGTGGAGTCGGGTCCTCACTGTGAAATAAAATCTTCAAGAAATGCATGTAAATGCATTTTCTAACAGTTAAGGGGTGACTTTTTCTCATGTATAAGCTTCCTGCCTAACTTCTGAGCTGCTGTCAAAAAGCGCTCAGACCCAGACATTGAGCCAACTTAAAATTGATAGTAATCTCATGACTGTTACTTGTACATGTATGTATACACAATTTGGTTCCTCTTGAATTTTTTTTAATTCCTGTTGCTGTACAAGAAGGCTGTAGAATGAAGAAGAACTCTCCAGCAGAATACTTTGTTAATACACAATACATTGGTAAGGATCAAATACAACTTTAATGTAGAAGCTTGTGATTTAGGCCCTCTGACTTGCAGGTGGGACAGGTATGGTGCCATGTCAGATCAATTATGTTGTCTGTACTACAATAAAATAATGCAAGACTGTTGTTTGGCTTGGGCGACTCATAATCTACAACAAAATGTTCCATTGGTTTGGTAAAAAAACTAAAAGGAAGAGAGAAAGTTCAAACATGGACTAATACTGAAATAATGTAATTATTGGTTTTGGTTTGTTATTTTTCACTAGAGTACCACAAAACTGCAGGCAGGTCCCTCTTGTTTTAGGACCAGTACTAATTGTTAAGAAAAATGCAGTGCGTCAGAGAACTAATGATATAACCATTTATATCATTAATTCCTTGGGGCGTAAAGAAAAAGCGAAGAGTAAGGAGGGAATCAGGCACACACAGACTGTGTGATCACTCCCATGTGACTGCAGAGTTTGCATGGAGCTGGAGCTGACTTCTCTGGAGCCCCAGGCTGATATGTGTTCATCACATAAATATTGCTCAAGTGTATGCTTTCAAGTTATTGAAGCAATTTTCATTTAGCTGTTACTTATGGTGGCTCATTAGTGGGTTATCCCACAGGGTAGCTTATTCTGTTGTTGCTATTATGGCATAAATGGGTCTTGCGGAGGATTTGGGGTCATTAAGAACATGATGTCCACATCTAAGTGTGGGAAAACACTTTGGTGACATTTTGCATTTTCAGTCCAAAAGATGTTCACAGAAGGAGAGATACTTGCTAATTCATTGTTTCTGAAGGAGACAAGTTAAGTTGTGAGTGAGGAACCGATGAATTCTGAATTCATTTCTGTTGATGATGGTTTTTCTTTCTTTGTATTAAAATACAAGTACAGTTTTGCACCTCTTAAGCTAGCAGCTGTGCTAAAGGTACCAAATTCTAGTGTCTGTGAAGAACTGTCATTATGTAAGAGGCTGTAACAGAGAAACTAATTTTTTTTTTTCTGTTTTTACTTTTGAAATTTCATAATTTCCCACTAATCTGGACTGCTATGTTTTTATTTTACTGCTTCATAGTGAGCTTCACAAGTTCAGTTGTTTGGTTTTTTTTCTGACCTTGTACATGTCTACTGTAAGCTTAAAATTACTATGCTATGGCTTTCCAGTCCTTAAAGGAATGCATTTATTTGGAAGAATTAGAAAGCGACTGTTTTTCAGATGCACCCAGGTTTTACAGTGCTTCTTTTAAAAGGACTGTAGCAGTTCTTTTGGCTCAGGATCCCATGCTGTAACCAAACAACCTCCAGTTAGTGACTGTCCTTGGCAATTTGAGCTGCTGCCATTTCCCCATATTGCACCGTTAAACTTATATGGGATGTATAAACACGTTCTGTGACATGCTCATATTGGGGGTCATTCTGTTCATAGTACATGTGCATAACTGCAGCGAATGACACTGTGCTCTCTGAGTTCAGGGCTCCTACCACCCCATTATGCTGTTGCTGGGGAATAAAAGAAAACTGGGTTCTGGTGCTGAGCCCACTGGTGAAGAACATTGCTGCAGAGTCCTGTATGTGATTGTGTGGTGGGGAAAGAATTAAACAAAAGCTGACTAGCTGTTCTACCCTCCTAAGTCGGATTTACAGGATTTAAGCAAATCTGCTGGAATTCCTTGATCTTACTCCTGTTCCTTACAGCTTGAGTATTATATCAGCTCTGGGTATGATTGCTATTAACTACCTCTCTTTTTAGTCTTTCCTTCAAGATCTCTTATGGAGGAAACATTCATATTTCAGCTGGTTTTGATGAATAGTAGTCCTGCCAGTTCAGGAAAAATAGGTTGAATTCCAGAGAGCCAAGAACATTTTAGAAGATGGTACTTCTTGTTCAGAAAGGTCAATGCAGAATAATCTGGAAAACTCAAGACAGAAAGAGTCTGTAGGGAATCATAGACATTATTATACAACTGTGCTTATATCAGGGTGAGAGGGAGATTTGTGTTAAATAGTGGACTTGGGTATTTACAATTACTTCAAACTTGCCCACACAAGAAAGTTCAAGATCTGTTTTACCTTATCTTTAGATATGTTGTCTGTCTAAACTGCCATGGTTGTACTGGTATAATTTCCTTCTTGGTCTTACTCTCCACTTTGGAGGGGGCCATATAGCCATGAGAAGCTTTTGAAAATCTGAGATCCACCTCTCAAAAAAATGTCATTACATGTCCCAGAAAACCAGGGGGAGTCTTGGCAAGAAGGAAGTAGTCCCAAAAGAGGACCTGCCACAAAGGAGACAACTGCAAAACCCACTCTATCTTTGCACAGTTTGTCATTCCTTCAGAAACTGAATACCAGACTTGGACTTCTGTTGCTTTTGGTGCTGGTCTGTGTTTCCTTTAGAATCACTTTATTTGGGAAGTTACTTTATCTAGAAGAGCCTTGCCTTGAGAGGGAAGCAACTTATGAGCTGCTGTGAGAGAAATCCAGTACAGGCTTTTGCTAGAGGTATTAAACCCTATTGGTGTGTGTCAGAGGGCTAAATAGGTGAGTGTCTTACGGGAGTTCTGGAGGGGCATGAACAACCTCACTACTCCTGACTAAGCAACAGATTTCTCTGAATGCTAGTAGATTTTCTGTTTCTGCCTCCAGTATATCCTTTCCTTATGTTTTCACTGGAGTAAGTGGTTCTAAATTCTAACACATTCCCATATTTTCATTTTGTTTTTCCTCCTTTTTGTCAGTTCTGCCTGAGAGTTACAGCATGCTGTAGCATCTAAGCTATTTCCATCCTCTGTTGCCCTGATCATCTGCCTCCCTTGCTTGAGGATATAGGAGAGTTGCTCCTAATTAACTGAGTGTAATTCTTGGCCAAATCCGCTGTGTCCAGAATGCACTGTGGTAAAAATTGACTCCAGAAAGGGCTCCCTCCTACCACTCAGCGACTCTTGTAAAAGATCCAGCATGTAGTAGAATTTCCTTGCATTTGATGAGTGACTGAGGATGAGGCAACCCAAAACTGTCATGTGAAGTGAGTAATGGGTAATAAGTAAGGGAAGAAAAAAAAGTGGCTTTTTGTCAAGCTAATGGATTTTTATCAGCCCATTCTTTGTTTTTATGCTGAAGGTGTCTTTGGAAATGCTGCTCAGCAGACTTGGCCAGAAGTGAGCTCATTTCTTAAGGTGACCTTCATATTGCATGCTGCAGAACACCAGGAGTTAATGCCTCCAAAATCAGAATATAAGTATAGGAAATGCCCATCAGACTGAGTTGAGGAGCAGCACAGGGAACGTGTAAAAAAATGTCTGAGACTGAACAGCTTCAAATGGAGCAATTTCCTTCTTAGATTTAGTAAGGCTTAAAACATTTGTTGTAGCCTCTAACCCTAACTCATGAAGGAGCAGTAAGCCGAAAAAAACTAAAAAAAAAACCCCATAGGGTTGTTCATAGCAATACAGTAATGATCAACCCCCTGGAAAGCATCCTAGCCAATCGAGTGAAAATAACTTTACAGCCCAAAATCGAGGGGACACTTGATGGAAAAGATCTCCGGAGGCACTACCTATGCTGGCAAGATGCAGGGCTGAAAATCGGGAGGACACCCTGGAGAGGGCTATGCTACCTGTAGCTTTTCCAGGGCGAGACCTGGAAGCCGCTTAACGTAAAGTTTTCTGTGTCCCGTGTACCTAGGTTCAAACTGGAGGAGAGTTTGACCTCAGGAAGCTGCAGGCAGCTAACCGAGGCGGCAGCGGCGGGGGGATAAAGTCCAGGCTGCTTCCAACAAGCCTAATCGCTGTCGAGTGTGCGCCCACGAGCCCCGCGGTTCGGCTTCGTGGAAGGAGGCTGGAAAAACCCTTGGCCGGTTTTGGTGCCGGAGGTTTTGCAGCAGGACGCCGGCCGTTGTGCCTCGGGGAGAGAAGGACGGGGC